ACAAACTTTGTAAAATGACATTTTTTCTCTAAATTGAATTTACAGTATATTTACATATCATTTGCAAGCGCTGTAAGACTAATCAACATTTTCAGTGGATCAAGAAAGATGCTTAATTTTTAACATCATATGATTAATATTTGTTAAGTTGTTATTTCAAATCCTCGTCATGTGTTGTGAAAATTTTATTGGTTCGAAATTTCTCATCCTGTTTCTGCCCCTGATGTTAGCGTGTTTACCTGGATTGTACCTGTCAGCACAGTTGAAAACGCCTCCGTGATTACAGCKGCATCCTTTCCCCCATCGGTCATTTACAACGACTGTTGAGGCAATAGGACTGGAATACAAACAGCGGAAATATTAGTACTTGACTTGTGCATTTGACCTTGAGCGCATAATACGGCTTGAATGTCWATCCAAATTTAAGTCAATTCGACATCTTTGATGATGTGGCTATCACTGGAAAAAATCGCGCTTTAAAAAGGTTGTAAATTTGATGTAAATATATGATTTTAATATGATTTACAACAAATTTACATCAAATTTACATCATTTTGGACACTTACATCATATTTACATCAAATTTACAACCTTTAAAGCGCGCGATTTTTTCCAGTGTATATGTGTGATAGTAAGTCTGATTGAGCATGCCATACTGTGGGGGTCCCCTTTAGTCCATCAGAGACTAGTTAACATCACGTGAGACATAGGATTAAGACGTAATATCACAGGAAGTCAATAAATACAATTAAAGTGAACTTGTTCTTGCACTTGTTCAAGATAATAAGGAGAATGAGTCTATTGCTCACCTGTTTCTTGATTGCAAAATAACAAAACGTTTTTATGCAGATGTACAAGCATGGCTAAATAATGCAAATGTTTGTCTTCCTCGTTTAAGTATAGAAAACATCCTCCTAAGTTTAGAGGGTGATGTTCTTCAATACTTCCTTCTGCTATTATGGAAGTATGTTATATACTTATCAAGGGCCAAACAAAAGTTACCAAATTTAAATGATTATATAATTACTGTAACATTGTATGAAATAAAAATGGAGTATATCATAGCAAAAAGGAAATCTAGACTGGCCTCAAACATGAAAAAGTATGAAAATATTCGAGATCTGCTATATAATTAGGGTACCATGGACAGAACTTATCTGAGTCCAAGTGTTTTAAGTCTTTTTTTCCAAGGTGATAATAAGAGTATCTTTGTTTTCATTGTTTCGTGTTTTGTTTTGTTTTTTTGTTTTGTTTTGTTGCACTAAATGTAATGTAGTATCATTTATATTTATTATATTGAAATAAAAAAAAATTAAAAAAACAATTAAAGTGCGACCGTTCAATGAAAACAAGCAAAGTAAGCACGCGATTGTGAATTTCTTGATCACAATTAAAATACGGAGAAATAAATCATCATATAAGGGTGGGCTGCCTGTGATCAGCATAATCATTTGTTTGTGTGCGCATTAAATAAATCTTTTTTTGTAAGACTATTGCACCTTACATTACTGTCAAAATTATAATCCATACCCTATTAAGATAATATGAATTATTAGCAATTAGTTTTACCTATCATTATATAACCATGCAAGAAACCTTTTACTGTCCCAGTATTCTTCAGATGCTTCCCAGTCTCCATCCGACCAAAGATACTCCGGTTTGTACTTGTTTATCAATTCTGTCAATTGTGGCATAACAGTGTTCTACAATTTGGWCAAGTGGCACAAAGAAAAGGGCACGTTAGGTTGAATWTTTWATKKTKATTTCATGGGCTTCCTGTGGAAAACCACGACTAAAATACTCCAGTTTCGAATTCTCCAATGCTCTGTGTTAGCCTCATTTGTGCGCAAAATATTCCTAATTGTGAGAATAAAAGTGTGAGATTTCAAATCAATTCTATTGTCTTTCTTCACAAATTCCATGCGTTTTTTTCAGCTATCAATAAAACAAAAGAATATGTTACTTGGTTTTGAGGCTAGCACAGAGCAAACCAGAACTCGAAATTGTAGTATTAGGGCTGATTTTTCTTCGCTGTGGTCGTAATCGTTTTGATTATTTTGATCAATGGCAAGCTCCTAAATCAGATGTCATGATTCATAGTACCTGATGAAGCCCAAGTATGCGTTCTGTAATCGTCTAGTTCACAGACTAAAAATAAAAAAAGTTTGGCTCTGAAATCCGGAATCCATGATTTGGAATCAGGAATCCTCGTCAATGGAAACAGAATCCGTTAGAACAAGAGGAATCTGGAATCCAAATTACTTAATTCAAAAGTTTTTCTAAAATAATCTAGGATATACTTTGCATTCTGAATCCAATATTTGTTGGAATCCAGAATCCTTGCGAAATGTTTCATGAAATCCGGAATCCAGGAGCTTGGAATCCGGAATCCATGAGGAACGCTCCGGATTCTGTGTCATGGTACGATCGACATCGTATTAACAATTACCTTAACAAATTCGTTTGTGGTAAAATTATTTTCTTTGTCTTTTAAGTAGAGCGGGTTAAACCACTCGTACAGCGAAAAGTACAATCCAAATGTTATGTCGCTATGGCTACGGAAAGCTGCAGCAAGTTCTCCTGTGATAAACGCAAAACAACACGTTAAATATAGCGCGCGCGGAGTTTTAGCCAATCAAAGAGCGTATRTGTAGGCATTACCCACGATATCTCGATGTGGTCCAAGAGCAACAGAATTCCAATTCCACGCGTGATCTGTATTCCAGTTTACGAATCCATCATGGTGCTTGCTTGTGAAGACAAAATACCTATAAAAATAAATGTTGGAAATTGTTGGATGTACAGCAAACTATTGGGTGGCAAGTTTATTGCGGCTCTAAGGGGGGGGGGGAGGTTAAGGGTGGAGTGGGGATGACTTGTTTTACTCCCTTCGCCACCCTTCACCCACCTTGTCTAAAGCCGCTAAGCATTCTGCCTCAACAGACATTTTGTATGGCTTTCTGTAGTAACAGACTTGTGTTGCACATTCTAACAACATCTATAAAGTTGATAGCATTAAGTAAAACAATTTGGTCAAAATATTGGTTCGCCTAAAAAAGTTATTGCAAACCAATTATTCTATAGCTTCAATATCAGTGACGTATCTGCTCTTTTAGTATCATTTGCAGGCATCAAATTATCATTCATGCACTACGCATCTCTAAGCGCGTCGATTAACAATGGATCTTTCACTAACTTTGCACCAGAAGAAGCCACGATGTCCACCCATTTGCTTGCATTAAAAAACTCCGCTTTGAACTGAGTCCCAAAGTCCGCATACTGAAATYCCGGTGGGTAGTTTTTCTTCATAAATTGAACTGCATTGGTGTAGTTTGCCTTCCAGTGCTGCCAGAACCATTCAGTTGAAATACCCGGTACAGAATATACTCCCCAGTGAACGAAAATACCAAACTTGGCCTCGTCATACCATTTGGGCAAAGGCCGGGAATCTAATGATTCCCAATTGTCCGTGTAACGTTGATTKTCAAGTGCTATTGTTGAGGATTTATCAGCATGAAAAATTGTAAAAAAAAGAGTTTTGAATATTATAGTGATATAGATTGATCCTGACTTCATTTCTAATCTTTGCTGATGATAATGATGTCATAGAAGTATTATTTTCCAATCGGGATTGAAGTTATTGCCATATTCCTTTTTTTCAAAAGCGTGTACCTCTTTTCAGCACCTATTCTTGATAATAAACAGTTGGAAATTCACCAATTTAGGTTGCTGTTTCTTAACAGGTCGTGTTTTAGTTACTTTGGCTAGATGGCAGGTGAGATTTTCCTGTTCAATGAACCACTGCAAAAGTAAGATATAGCAAATACATGTCTGTGTATAAAAGATTGAACAACCATCATTTTAAGACTCAAATGTTTCTGTTCTTGAGAATAACCCTTAGTTACAAAAAACAATTTTTTAAATCTAAAGGATATAAATGTTTAGGGAGGCGGGAGCCGACGCGACGGGTTCCTGGGAGAAATATGCCTTTTCTTAGGTCCCAGCCAGCTGTAAGTCACAACTGGTTGCCAGCGAGAAATCCAGGAAAAAAGAACTCTCCAGGCAAGGAATACTTTCCAAGAACTTTTGCCTGGAAAATAAAAATTTCCTAACTAAAAAAATAAAAGCCGTTTTTGAACATAAAAACGTTATATAAGTTTTGCCAGCCGAGCAAAACTATTTTAAAGAAGGAAGGGCGCCACATTTGTTTGTGAGATTGTCAACAATGTAGCTCAAAATACATTTTTCAGGAAAAAAATTCAAGAACAGCTATTTAGAAGAACAGACCCCGTCGGCTCCTTTTGCTATATTTACCATATCAACTGAATTGGGCTTCCTGTGTCGTCTGTGAACGATAGAAGATTTGCACTAGTGTAATAGGTTCTCTTTGTTTTCTTGTCAGGTTGTTTTCTTGTAGTAAATGCGACAAAGATCTTTTTCTCGCGTTTCTCGTCAAAATAAAGATTTCTGATGATTTTTAATACATTGCTACGACTTTAGATGAGTCTTAAGAGGGCTAGACCTTTTGGGAGTATTTTCCCAACAAAGAAAAGGTCGAATTTATCGGTCCAAAGCGATACAAGATGTARTCTGTGTAGTGGTATAGATTGTGATTGCAATGTKAATGATCAAGGTAAGAACTTACTATAACTTCATCGGAACAATGAAATTGCCATTGGGCATCATTCAGTATCGAGGCAGCTCATCACCGCAATCTCTCGTGTCCTGAGAGCTTTACCTCGAAAATTCAGCGAGAAKAAATTAAGGTAATTTAAGCTTTATTACATAAGCTTAAGTCATAAAAAAAAACCACAAGAAAGAAGGAAAAAAATATAAAAGAAAAATGCAATTAAAGGAATTTTTCGGCAGTCATCCCCTCAAACCCAGTCAATGTTAACCTAATTATTGCTACTCAATCAAGCAGGGAGGAGGATCATATCTGACCAATGCTATGCAATATTATTTTCTTCTAGACATTGTAAATATTGCTGATGATACAAAGGCAGCATTGTTATATATCAAGTCTCTATACTCCACAAAAGACATACAAGACCGAGTACCCCACATTATCCTAAAACACCAGCTATACAGCATCGTCAAAGACAAAACTATTGTGGATAGGCAGTTGGTAAGAGAGAAATCATTAGGAATATTAGCTCAGATCCCCATGACATGGAATTTGGATTCTATAGTTGTCTGCATTTTTAACAATGATTGGTGCATGTTTACAGTTGGATTGCATTGCCCTTATAATTGTTCAGATTTAGGGACTGCTCATTTTTTGTCAGGAGGGGGGGATGGGGTGGACCCACCCCCTTGACCATATCTTATTGACATGATCCCCACTCTTTGGATTCTTAAGAAATATGTTGTGTTGAATATACAAGTAATATAGGATTAATAATTTTGCTGCCCCCCCCCCTCCCCACTCCCCACCAGCACGTCCCCTTCAAATAAAAAATGAACGGTCCCGTAGATTTCACTTACTGTTGTTCATTTTTTATTGGAATGGGACGTGCTGGTGGTGAAGCTAGGGGGAAGGCTGGAAACGTGAAGACCATAGCTTTACAGCTTTATAGCTTTGCAGAACGACAAGCCTTACTTTAGCCAACTAAATTATTATAAATAAATTTAGTAAATTTACTGATTAGTTTACTCAGAGTGTTACGCAGTATTCAGTCATTATTTCATGTCCACGACAGAATGAAATGTGGGAGAAGAATGAGGTTCGTTTGTTCAAGCTTATCTCTGGTTCAGATGAGTTTGCTGTGGTTTTGACTCAAGACTATGAGACACACATAAGGGCCAAAATGGATACAAGTAGATGCAAGATTACAGGTATAAATTATTGAATTATTTGACTTGTACTTTTTTGTGGTCCAGCATTCTGATTGGCTACTGAACTATGGTTCATTTATTTGACCTAATGTCGCATCCAATCATGTTAATTATAGACTCACAGACTATCAACTCCCCTAGTCCACGCGACCTGGCCATAAACTTGATGATTAATTCATAGTCTCACTAAACTGTTGTTCATTTTAATAACAATAATAATGCCTGTTTTCCACAGAGAAATTCCTGACTGAGATTTTACCAAACTGCATCGATGTGAGCTTTAGCAAGACAACTTTGATTGATAAACATAAACTCACAGAAGATGATATTACGTAAGCATTTTCTATCATTCAACATCATGATAGAAGTATTTGGTACCGTTTCCTCTATTTAAGGAGATATTTTAGGGTCTATAATAAGTACGAGTACTACAACTACCATCATGCTTTACTGCACAAAATGGCGTTCCTGAAATTGCCTATTAAAAAATAGTTTGAACTGATGCTTGCATTTGTAGATATTTAATCAAAATGGGTATATTAGCTGTACGTGATGTTGGCAGTTGGTGGCTTAGTATACCTGGTGTTGGTGTCTTTATGAAGAACTTTATTAAAGGTACTAGTATCCCTGACATTACTTCATAGCTTGTGCCTATTTTTTGTTCTTTRGTGAGTAAATAATTCAGGACTGTATCAACCAGTACAGTTGGTTSAATTTCAAACCAATATTTACAGCAAGAGCCATCCCAGCTTCTTGCAAGAACTGGACCATTATAAAATTTGACTGCCCTCCAGGGCCGTAGCCAGAGTGAACGGATAACCGAGGCAAGCGACCGCCAAAGGTGGGAGGAACTAGGGGGTCACCCGAGAAAATTTGAAATTTAGTCTCTTGGAAATGCGATTTGCAGCGTTTTGTGCGCCTTTAAGTAACTCTTCGGAATTGATCATGCAATATTCATGAAACAATGGAGCTATACGTATACGTACACGATTAATATTATTTTTATATTTTTTGCACAAAATCAGTCGTACGAAATCGTCTCTGAGAGGCTAAAATGATATCAGTGATGGAAAACAAAAATCATAGGCAAAATTTTACCGAGGCGAGTGCCTCGGTTGGCCTCTTACTAGCTACAGCCCTGCCCTCTAAAATATAAATTTAATTATAATTATTGTATTCAGGAAGAAAGGCCATAACACGAATTTTGAAGACCAAGAGATATAAAGAAATATTACTGAAGGTGCAAAATTTATAGTTATTTTGAACTAATTTATTACCAATTATAGTAAATTATTTACTGTGTAGTACTAAGTCCCTTTTGTYTGATAACAGGAATTAGAGTCTAGAAGCCTAGCTAATCAATCCAAATTAGGAATTATGTTCCACATTCATGACATCATTGGTGCCGARATTGTAAAAAGGTAAAAATAGTTGATCATACCCAGGGGTTTACACAGGGGGGTGGGGACTGCAYGTTATTGGTTTAAGTTGTATCTATGTAGGTGTRCATTAGTATGTGTTTAGCTATCTTTCACTCACCTGTTTCCTGTGGGAATGAATATACCTTTTGTTGAACTATGAATGATGTAGCCTGCATAGCCAAGGAATTATAGAGATTRTGACAAAGAAGAGAAAGACAGAATGTTTCTTCCTTCCCAATCTCCTTCTGGGGCAACAAGGAAGGCCTGGCTACAGAC